TTGGCTGTGACGACGCTCTCTGCATTGATTGTGGACGACCAAATAGGAAACCCCAAGAAATACTCCACCACAACACTCCCTGTGTACATGTACAAGTGACACCATTGTTGTCCCCAGGGAACGAAAAGCCAAGACCCAGATAATGATCTTGGCTACAACGAATAAATCCAGCGATGTCAATGGGGTAAGGCACACTGGGACCATTATCAGGACTGTGGATGCTACCTGCTGACCAAGAGAAAGGTATTTTTACCTGGTTAAGGAACACCAAGGTCTTGTATGAAAACCACCATCGATGTGGAGCCGTGTTCAAAACACTGACACGGGAGTAAAAGGCTCCATGTCCTATCACCCCTTCCAGGAGGCCAACTGTACCTCTCCCCATTAACACTGAGTATGTTAATGATGATCTCCTTTATCCCAAAGGAGCTGAGCTGTTGGGCTGGCACCGCAGCCACAGCGCCAGGTCTGGGAGAACCACCAGGCTCATTCCTTTACACAACGCCACTCTCCGTTATAATTATTTCTGTAATATTGTAATTTATGTGGCATGAAGGAGCAATATCCTTCTGCTAAATGAATTCTCGGCTACTCCTTGTCGTAGAGTGAGCCGATTCACTGCACAGCGAGAAAAAAAATAGCTGGAGAGGCAGCTTCCACAAAAGGGAGAACCTATTCCTGACTAAAGTGTGTGCCACTGAAATCAATTTACTGAAACAATAAATCCTTTTATCCTGTGGAGGATACCTGGAGATAAAACAGCTCATGAACAAACAGTCATCAGGACTGCAGGCTGGTTCACAAGCTATAAGCCCTGGAGTCCACTTTTCAGTGTATAGAAACAAGCAAAATTACTGGGGGTTTTAAATAAAGAAAAGCACCTGTGAGATGAGGCAGGCTTGTCTCTTCGTCTTTGAAAAACTGAGAGTGAGAGGATGCCAGCTCCCCGATGGGCTGTTCAGACACAGCACAGGGACCACGGGCTCCTAAGATCTCCCTCTGGCTTGCTCAGGGTCACTTCAAACCTGCCTGCTGTAGCTTCTGCCCCTGCAAAGAGGATCCTCCCCCTGTGGATCAGGGAGATGGGGAGAATGAAAGCAACCCAAAGATAAAGATCACTAGTTAGATGCTAACTGAGTGTAGCCACTGCTGTGCAGAAGGATGCTTTGGGAGAAGCACGATTTGCCTCTGAGTAAAGCCGGGAGCTGAGCACCCAAGCAGTCAAGGCACCACAGGGACACCAGCCACCCCTGCCCTAGGCTGGGTGCTCCCTGAGGCATCCCCAGTCCTGTCCCAGTAGGTCAGAGGACGACAGCCAAATACCCCAGCACCACACGAGGCCATCTGGGACTCAGCCACCTCTAACCCATCACCTGCAGGCACGCAATGCTTGGGAGATGAATCTACATTAATCTTTTATCCATGTTATTTATAACAGACTCTTGATGTAGAGCGTGACCGACAAAGCAAACAGTGACACGCAACCAGCGCGAAGAGGAGCATCCGCAGTGAAACTTCCAGATATTTTGTTACAAACAGCCTGCTAATGCACTTAAAAGATTTACAGAAACCAATTATCACCCTTTCTGCCACCCACCGACACCAATTATTGCTCAAATTTAAGATGATGATGACAGAATATTTTAGAAGCCGCTTTCTAAGCTGCTGTCTCTCTCCAGTGATGCTCGGCACTGACAGAGCTGTCCTGGAGCACTCCTGATGAAAGCCTCCTCGCTCCATCCAGCAGCAGAACTCTGAGTATCACTGGGAATGACTGCAATTACTGCGAGGAATTATGGAAATAGCAAAAACAATGACTTGACATAAAGACTGATTGTGCTGCAGAACGTGGAGGCAAAACGTCTAAAGCGTCTCCCACTCATCTCCAACCCTTCTGATCTGTATGTTAATACACAGTCTCCATGCAATTAATATGTTAATCTATACATTTATTGGAACCAGATGAGCTTTAAGGTCCCTTCCAACCCAACCACTCTATGATTCTGTAATTAATCTATACACGGCTTTCCTGCAGTACCTGCTTCTATAAGGAGCTCATTATAGAATGGTTTGGGATGGAAGGGACCTTGAAGATCATCTGGTTCCAACCCTCCTGCTATTGGCAGTTAAATAAGCTCAGCTTCCCTTTCCAGAGGCTTGTGGTGTTTTCATCTCTGCCAACAACGTTAAGGAACTGCCACCTGAAAATATTTATGGATTTCCTTAAAGATAAGCTTAAAAG